AAATGAAACTTTGAGTACCTCTTAAAGAGGGACAAATCTGTATTGTTTATGTAAAAAGTGGAGAGAACTCGCACAATACCTATTTTTTATAGCCCGTTTTTCATATACATTGTATTCGTCACCAAAACAGCCCTGTAGAACACAGTGTACAGCACACATCGTGCCTTGTCACGAACTGACAGCAATTGAAGGTGAACCAAGTTACAAAATGAAGTATTTTTTCCTCTAGCCATCTGAGAAGATAAATGATCTAAGTTATATTAAAGAGAAACGGGATATGGGATCCAAAGGGCTCATTTTACGTTAACTGCATCTCACCAACAAAAATAGAGAAAGCAATTTCCTGGTGCATCAATTCCACGTACACTCAAAAATCAGAGACGCTGGCACACTCTGTTACTGTGTACCTCCTAGTATTCTCAAATCTCTAACAAACCAACTGTTCCCTATTAATTTCCCATTTTAAGGTAGGGTTTGGGGTTTTTCCCCCCAAAATACAAAGATATGAAGATATGCCCGTACAAACCAAGTATCCTACCCAGGCTGAATAAACATATTCCTGCAGGTAACACCATTTCAAATGACTCCTGTAACCAACACAAAACATCATCTCTCCACAGCATATGCCAAGCACGACCCCCATCATCCCACTGGCCCGCACCCATTTCAGAGCCACTGCCCTTCTTGTTTTAGGGCCAGACTCCCTCTTCATCAATACCAGTCAGCATCTGTAAACTCTCACCATTTCAGATGCAAAAAAACTGCACCGATAAAGTTACGATGGCATAGAAATGAAAGCACATGAAACATCACCAACCATCCCCTACCCATTTACTGGTCAAAACCAGTAACTTTATATATAAACCGGGAATCTTATCTTTCCATCCTCCTTCTCATGTTCTGTATTTATAGGGCATTAAAGTCCTACTACTAACAACAACAGACTCCTTTCTAGTGCAACTCCAAAGCAGTTTTAAGTATCTGTGCACGGTTCTCACCATCAGTTGCAGAACCATCTCTTCCATTCCTGAAGTGTTCTCGTCCCTCTGCTGTTATTTAACTCTTTAAGGCTATTTAAGAGTCATGATGTTATTAATGATCATGCAATTCTTAAAAACATATGGAATTTTAAGTTTTTAAACAATACAATAGGAACATACACAACAGGCAGTTGGCGGCAGGGGGGTGCTCCTACCCCTCCTTCTAATTATTCGAAACCAAAATATCTCAAGTGATCTAGAATAGCAGTCTTGGGTTTTTTTTTGTTTTGTTTTTTTTTTTTGTTTTGTTTTTTTTTTTGTTTTGTTTTGTTTTGTTTTTTCCCAGCTTGTCAGTCCTAGGATCTTCAGCAGTGCAGAAATCTGTATAACGAACATAAGCCTACGGAAAACAGATGTCCTTTCCTCTGCTGCTTCCTACTGACGTGGGTTATTTGCAGATGGCCAGGGTCCGCTTCCTGCAAGCTGAAAGCCACTGATCTAGAACCGAGTATCCTCTTACTGTTTGTTCTGCTATCTGAGAAGTTACATTAAAATGGCATTACGTTCCTCAACTCCAAACTGACTAATCTTTCTCCATACCACCTTCTAACAACCATTCCTCAAGAGCTGTCCATTAAATCCTATTTCCCGAAACAAAGAACTGTCAAAAACAGAACACCATCATGGAAGATACCTCACCTTGCCACAGACCCAGACGCGGCACAAGCTCTTCATGCTAAAGACTCCCCAACCTACCTATAAATAGGCTCAAGACTTCAGGCTCAGGAGACTGATAGCTAAACACGATCCTCGCGGCGTTCCCCTGTGTTACCTACATAACGCAGCACGCCTGAACGAAGCCGGGCTAGGCAGATACGTAGGTGCTATGAATGCAGGATAGCACGGAGGGAGGGGGAAAATAAATAAATAAATAAATAAATAAATAAATAAAACTCGCTGGGCATAAACAGCTCTCTTCCGGAGAGAAAAACCTCCCTCCCCGGAGGCCAGAGCCAGCCACAGATAGGCTGTGTCAGGGATAGACCCGTTCGCCAGGCAAAGGCCCTTCAGGAGGTTTAACGAGGCAGGGCGTTTAACGGCAGCGGTGGGCGAAGCCCCGGGGCGGGAGCAGCAAGAGGGTCCCGGGCAACCTCCCCCTCCGGCGAGAGGGTTTCGGGGCCCACCCAGGCCCGGTCACTCGTCCCACGGGACGGGCCCGCGGGCGCCCTCACCCCGTGGGTTTCCCGCGGCGCTGTGAAAAGGAGGGGGGGGGGGGGGGGGGGGGGAAGGAGGGCGGCGCGAGGCCGAGCCGCGTGACCGCCTGAGCCGGCGGCACGTGGCCCCGACCATAACAAACAGGCGGGTGGGCGGGCGCGGGCCGCGCTCGCGCCCTGCCAAGGGCGGGCGGAGGGAAAGGAGAAGGAGGGGGGGGGGGGGGGGGGGGGGGGGGGGGGGGGGGGGGGGGGGGGGGTGAGGGAGGGAAAGAGGGGGGGGGGGGCGCTAGCGGCGCGGCGATTGGCCGCCCGGCGCGGTGGGCGTGGCCGGCGCTGTTGTTCCCCCCCCCCCCCCCCCCCCCCCCTTTACCGCCGTGGTGCAGTGCTGAGGAGGCGCCAGGCGGGGGCCGCTGCCCGCGCGCTTCCCGCCCTCAGCGAGGCCGCTCGCCCGAAGACCCCCCCCCCCCCCAACCCCAACCCCAACAGCACCCACTTCTCACACACACACACACCCCCCCACCCACGCAGCAACCGTGGGCTCAGGCACCCCCCCACACACACACACACCCCCCCGCGTGAGCCGCCCGCCCTCCCGCAACAAGCCGCGAGTTGCGCCACGCAGCAAGCAGCGCCCCTTCTCCTCCTTCTCCTTCTTCTCCTTCCCCCCCCACCCCACTCCCACTCAGGACTCTTCTTCCCCTTTTCCCCAAGCGACGCGCCGCTTCACCCCCTCCCCTCCCGGCACCCACCTGTGGGGCGGCCGGTGTCCCCCCCCCCCCCCACCTCCATCAACCGGCGACCGGGCGCGGAGCACGCAGAGGTCTGGGGAAGAGCGGGGCGGGGGGGGGGGGGGGGGGAAGTGCTAAATATACCCGCTGCCGGCGGCACCGCCTGTGTCACGGACCCGGGCTGGCGAGCGGGCGGCGCGGCCCGGCCCTCCACCCCCCCCCCCCCCTTTTTTTTTTTTTTTTTTTTTTTTTTTCTCCTTTTCCGCACATCTTGTTTTCTCCATACGCACTTAGAAATGCGGAGCGCCCCCCCCCCCCCCCCCCCCCCCCCGCTCCAGGCGTGTGGGGATTGTTGTTATTTTTGCGCGATTCGGGATACCCACGCAGCGAGGAAAACAACACGGCGCAGTCCCGTCCTCCCCCCACCGCCACGCCGCAGCTCGGCTGTCACTTAGCTCCTTCCCCCACGTCGCGAGAAGCACACACACACACACACACACACACACACCCCTATGTCGCGACAGCGGCCCGCGCACCTGCTGCGCGCCGTACCCCTTCAGCTGCCATCTCCTACCAGGGGTGCGCGGTGTGTGGAAGGTGGCGGGGGGGGGGGGGGGGCACCCCCCGCCTCTCCCCTCCCTCAGCCCACGCGAGGCGCCCGGCCGGGGTCTCGCCGCTGGCAGCCAGGTGCGTGGGGAGGAGGGGGCTGCGCGGGTGGGCAACGGCGGGGAAAAGTGAGGGAGAAGGGTGGGAGCCGGGATGGAGCGAGTCCCCCCCTCCCGCCTTCCCTCACACACAACCCCCCCCACGCACACCACCCCCCCACCCCCCCCCCCCCCTCCGATTAGTGTTTACCTCAAGTTTGAATTTTATCTGCGCAACATGAGCTGGAATGCGGACATGGAGGGCGCGCACACGCCCGCCGCTCCGCGGGGGGGAAAAACACGCGCGGCCCCCACAACACACCCCACGCACCCCCCCCCCCCCCATACACCGCCGCACCAACATGGCGCGATCACCCTCACACACACACACACACCCCCCCACCGCCACCACCACCCCCCGGGGCGGGCAGCCCCTCCAGTCCCGCCGGTAACTTACCTCCCGCAGCGGCCGCTCCTCCGCCGGTTCTCCTGCTCCGCCGGTTCTCCTGGCTCGGCGGGGGAAGGTGCCACCGGGCAGCGGGGTTACCCCCACCCGCCGCCGGGCGCGGAGACAGGTGCAGGCGCGGCGGGAGCGCCCGGGGCAGGGCGGGCCGGCCCCGGGGGGGGGGGGGGGGGGGGCACCGCTGCTGCTGCCTCCTCCTCCTCCTCCTCCTCCTCCTCCCGGGCTCCCCTCAATGCTTCCCTCCCCACAATGTTGTTTCATTATATCATGTCCATCATGTGACACCCGGAGGCCTCTCTATGGAAACTTAAAGGGGACTTTCATGTGACGGCGACAGCGGGACCCCCCGGACGGGCTTGGGGGGGGGGGGGGGGGGGGCTCTGAGACACCCCCCCTTTCCTCCCGGGGGGCTGCGAGCCGCCCTCACTTTTCCGAGTCAAATCAACTTGCTGCGCTTGTTCGTTCTACTGTCCTTATCATTAATAATAGTGTTTGTTTTATTATTTTTTTTTTCTTTTTTTTTTTTTTTTTCCCCTCCCCTCTTCGCACAGCTGATCGCTAAAGGGAAATAACCGCTCGCTGCTCTCCCCCGACCGGCCAAGCGCCTTTTACAGAGCGGGGAGGAACCCTCCCTCCCCGCTCTCCCCCGGAGGATGCGGGACCCGGTGCTCGTCTGCGGGCACGGTGTGCTGAAAAAAAAAAAAAAACAAAAAAAAAAAAAAACAAAAAACCCCCCAACCAAACAAACAAAAAAAAAAGACAACAAACAAAAAAGCAAACCCAAACTTGTTTGTATCAGACTGAGGAGGCTGAAGGTGGGAGCGATGCTGTCGGTGCGGCTGTGCGGTGGTCGTGAACGTGGTTTGGTTTTTTTTTTGTTTTTGTTTGTTTGTTTGTTTTTAACTCTGCCAGTCGGTAGGGAAACGTTTTACCGGTCTAACCTCTAACGCCGTCGGTTTTGCACAGCAGGTTGCCGTACAAGAGATGCTGCGAGGAGCCCCGCTCCTAGGGCTCTGCGCTTGCCGCTGCAATTATACAAGCTGCGCGTACAACCAGCCACCTCTCAGAGAAGAGAAGAGGAAGGATTGAAGACATTCTCCGTCATTTGAGAAAACCACGGCCCCCCCCAGGGCAGCCCGCCGGGGGCGCGGGCAGGGCGGGCGGGCAGCGCCGCGTTTCTCAGGCTGCTGTTCTGCCTTCGGTGCTGAAGTGGGTTATATATATATATTTCTTTTTTTTTTTTTTTTTTTTTTTTTTCCCCAGCTCTCCTCTTACCCCCAAGATTTAGGACGAGGGAGCTAAAACCCACCTGGCTCCATGGTCCCACCGCCGCACTAGGCTGGCGATGCTCGGGGGGGCTCGTGGGGTTTTTCTCCAGGGGAGGTTCCTGGGGGAGCACCCCGAATTCTCCTCCCGAACCAATGGCATCTCCTCAGTACTGGCTGTCCAGTGCAAGGTTCAGAGGGCTGGCTTGGAGGAGGGGATGGATTTGCTGTTAAAAACTAAAGGAGGAAAAGCATGCTGCATTCGTTCCTTCCTTACGTCTGGCAATTGCAGCCCCTCGGCAGGTTAAAGTATGACCCACAGGTGCAATCAATTTTAAATCTGGAATTTAGTTTCTTCAGTGTCCCACTGAGTTTTCTTGAAGGGGGCCATATAAATAACCTTTTTACTGCCTGCGGAGTTTAGCTGATGCCCGTCACAGGTACTGTCAGCCCCGGGAGGGGACCGGAGCTGCCCGAGCAGGCAGCGCAGGCCCAATCCTGCCCACGATGGCAGATCATCTCCCTTCGCCCTCGCGTTCCTGCTTTCGGAGCTGAAGTGCCTGTGCTGCACCCCGCTCATTTCCAAGTGCCCGTGCAATGAGCTGTATATGTTTTACGGATCAGTGTTTCAGACACCTCTACTATTACTTTCCAAATTTTTCGGGAGTTTCATAGAAATTATTAATGACTTTAGCTGAGAAGAGTTAACCAACTGAGGAACAGTTCGTCTTCCTTTCCTTCCTTCTTCTCAGAGTCTTCCCTCTACCCACCCTACACTTCATCTTTGTTTACCTGTCCCTTCCCATCCAATTTTGGGAGGATTTCTATCTCTGGGTTCCTTTCTGCCATTTTATCCAGGTTGTCCCACTGCCGTGGAATCTAGATCCAGCACATCTTGCTTTCTACCTCCTTGGGCCTTATTTCCCTACCTCACTACACCTTTTTTTACTCTATATTTCCTTCTTCAGATCATCCTTAAAGGAGAAAGATGCTGGAGCTGGGATATAAAGTAGTCTTCTAGGAGTGCTGCCAGAACCGATCTGTTTTACTCTGCTGCTGCTGCTGCTGTTGCTGTTCTGCTGTGTCATGGGAAGAGAGTTACCTAGCCACACCAACCCTCGGAAACGGCACCTCAGGCAGAGCCTCTTGCTGCAAACCTGAGCCGTGCTTTACAAAGCTGAAGGGTAAGTTTGTCTGGCGCATGATTTAGTCTGGAAAGAGAAGGCATCTCTCCCTTTCCGGGCTCTGGCGGGGAGATCGGTGCACGATGTTGGGAGATTTGCAGGGGGGCAGAAGTGGCGGCAGCAGCAGTGACAGCGCATCATCACACAGCTTTATTTCATTTTGTCAAGCCAAGACGCTTTGGGTTACAGCCGAGCAGAAAAGCAAAATGATGCCTTTCTGTAAAAAGGGTGCTTTTTCTGAAATTTGCTTTAAATTTATGCAAGGAAGTATTGCGCTAAGAAAGAGCAGGGATTCTACCTCCTCTTAAAAATTGTTAGTTATAAAATCTTTACGATCTTGGCTCCTTCCACCTGAGCCTGTTTCCTTCAAAAACTTACTTTCAAAAATGTGAGGTTTAAAGACAACTCTTCTCTCTCACTCTCCCCTCCCAAGTTTATGTTCCTTGGAAAGGCCTGAAGAAGCCTGAGGCAATGTCTGCCTGTGAATGAAAAAGGTTGGAATAAACACCGACGTGCACATACAAGCGCATATATGTGCGCACGCACAGGATTTAAAGCATCCCATTGAAGTGCATATACAGGAAAATCCTTCATCATGTGAGAGGTTTTAATATCTGCCTTAAAATTAATCCCTAACTGATGCATTCTGTGTTGTAGCAGATCACAGGAGGCTCAATAGCTGAGGTTCCTGTCGCAGGTTTTTAAAACTGCCAAATAAAATCCCCCGTTTGCTGTTGGATTAATTTGTGTTTTCACAGCAGCCACCTGGGAAATGCTCATCTTGTGAAAGCAAATAAGAAAACTTTATAGGGCTCCGGTCCTATTTTTCCACAATAAAAAAAAAAGGTCTTTGTCATGGGGTCAGGGCAAGATCCGATGCTATTCCACAAGGAAATGGTTAAAGGGCCTGTCACAGTTCTTCAGTTCGTCTGCTAAGAGATAACACTCCTGATTTTATTAGAGCTTGAGCTTTGGAGATGGTCCTGCTCACTCGTCAACGTTGTCTTTGCTTCTTTTTTGTTTTTTTTTGTCACTGAAACTGAATCTTCCCTTTTCACTTCTCTTTCTGATTTGTTTCACTCTTCGGTTCCCATGTATTAGAAAGTGCAGTTTCATTTAGACGCTTGACAGAAGAGAAGAAAGCCTGATTCCAGAAAGCAATTTGCACTAATATATTTTCTTTGCCACTCACATGAAAACATCACTCCTCAAACAGATCTAGGTATAAACAATGCTGACAGGCCCTCAAAAACAAAACCAAATTGTGAAATTGAGGCAAATAGCCCAGAGAACCTGAAATGTTCTGGTTTCTAAAACACTGGCTGCTGTCAAAAATAGGGAAAATTAAAGCTGTGTTTACATGTGGAGCAGAGTGTTTGTTGATCGAGTTTCTAAGGTGATGTAGCAGGAAATACTGATCTTAGGAAAAATGACATGAACAAAGCATGAAACTATAATTCATCAGCTATTTGTCAACGGATAATAGAAAAAATAAAAAAGGATATTTAAAAAGCAGTGAGAGGTTTTCACTGAACTTTTTCTCTCCCTTGCTGGCAAACATAAAGGCAGCCTCTTACCTGCTCTGCTCATGAATGTAACTATTTGCAAAAGCAGAGCTAAATCATTTATCAGAAGGAATGTTTCCGTCAGATGCAAATACCTACACTAGCTGCTGTTTCTACGTCATGTCACGGATGAGATTGATGCTTGAACAAGGTTATAATGTACCTGCATTTTCTCCAGATTGGTGCCAAGCTTGCTGAGTCATTTTCCCTGTTCCCATTCTGCAGTCGGCTGCTCGCTCGCTTTTCCCTGTTATTTGTGTGGGTCGTAAGCTCAGCAACAGATGAGAATAAATGCTTGTATTTCTTTAGGCTGCCTCCCTAAGGAAATAAAGGTTCTGCTGTGCTGCTTTTCTGTTCATATCTGTGTCCATCCCCCCTCTCCCAAAAGTTTCTGAACCCATTAATGAATTTTGGATGAATTTGGGAGAATGCAGGTATTTCAAAGGCAGTTACATTCCTGCAAGTTGCACACGGGCAGGAGGGAGAGACCCAGATCAGAAATTGAAGCGGAACTTAGCCAGAACACATCAGGGGTGGCAGCCACCTTCCAGCCACCCAACGCATACGTACCAGCCGATTAATCTATATGTAGCTACGCCTATCCACAGTGCTGCCATATCTTGTCTAGTATAGTTTTCACTGACAGGCAGGGGATATCATGGAGAACCAAAAGAACCAGGGTAGTTCAGGGAGCAAGTTGTTTTCGAAGCAAAATAGTAGCGGAGTTTAAGGAGTATCACCGTATGCAAGGGAACAGTTAGTACCTGGGAATGCCACCACATAGTTTTGGGGAATGATCTAGCTTTTGTGTCACTCCCGAAGCAAACCATGGCAGAGGAGCCAGGCTGGGCTGTTCTTAGAGCTAGCATGGCTTGTCAGTCTAGTGGTCTGTTGGTCTTGGCACTAAAGCTATAGGCAAAGATCCCCCATCCGCACCTCTTCCAAAGGTGGTCAGTAGATGCGTTGCCGCTGAGATGCCTACACCCCCAAGGGAAGAGCAGTCTCAGCCACAGGCTTGAGGCTACTGACTCCTACAGCCCCGCTCGCCCATCTACCTTTCTGGTGTAGCCACGCTGTAGCTGGGGCTCAGAGTTGGCTTATGCTTGAGAAGAGCCAAGCCTGGGGTGTCTCCTCATGAACAGAAAGGAAACGTGGTGAGTTCCTACCTAGGCTGGAGCCTTCCCGACTGCCTAACTGAAATTATGGCATGGGAGAGCTCCAGCCCTGCATCCCCATTTCAAGGTGTGCTGGGAGGCAAGCACAAGGATGATGGTCAGGTCAGGATCAGACCCCTTCTCACCTGAGAGCTCAAAGGCTCAATTTGTATGTCCTTTCTCTACCAGCTGCACCTTGCTTGGACCAGCCTCTGCAGGACAGCTAATCCTAACGCTATGCATAACATACGCTCTCATCTCAATTGCAATTAGTTTGATGCAACAAACGGTTTCAGCATGACAAACTGCAAGCTAAAAAAAGCCGTGCCTTCATATGTATAAACTGGATGCACAAAATATGTATTGTGTGCCACCTCCCTGATGTCCCATATTTGTTCCTGCAGCGGTCCCAAGTGGCATATGCTCCCGCGATACCACATGGTCTGAATGGACTCCTGGAAATATAGGAGTGATCTGGCACTGGTACTCTTTGAAAACAAGGCGTTAGTTGTTCTACCATGAGATGCTGCATATCGACCTCTTCTGGAAGGAAGAAGTTCACATATAAGTTAAGATTCATTAACCTCTGATGATTAATCTATAAAGTTGGAGCCAGCCTCCCTATCAAGAAGCACGTTATTATGTCTGTTACAGCTGCTAGACACCAACCAAGATCGGGGGCCTTGTTTTCTGGATATTATTATATAGTCATACCCTAGGAGATAACCTCTGCCTTGAAGGGCTTACAAAGCAAAAAGACAAAAGAGTGAGCAATATAACTCTCAGGCTGAGCAAACATGGTGACCTTTTGCAAATGTCAAGTTAATACCATGATCTGGAAGTGGAAGGGGTTTATCAGAGGGCGGGTGGGTCAGCAGGGATGGAAGGCACTCAGGTTTCGGGGAGTGAGGTGAAGGAAAAGCCATAGCAGAAGCTGCATGGTATGAGATGGAGAGGAAGTGCACGTAGAACGTTCTATAGTCAATCAGCACATCCAGGAAGACAAACGGGGGGAAAAAGGAGTCTGATGACCCTGTCCACAGCTCACAGCATCACCAGCTCCTACCTGTAGCCTCTTCCCCAAAGCCACACAGCTTGGAGAGAGGAGATGGAGAAGGCAGGGGGTGGACAGCATGGTTCCTCCTACGTGCTGGTTCTGCACAGGCGGCTGGAGGTGTGATAACCCTGTTTTGGGGGTTGTTTCTCTCTGCAGCTCGGCCTCCTGCAGCTGTTTTTGTTGCAGCTGAGCCTCAGGGCTGGAGTGAGACATAGTTCAGCGCTCTAAGTCCAGGGCAGCACATAATTGAATATTAACAGGAACAGCTCCAGGAGCTACTGGGACTCAGGAAGTCACAATTCCTCCTCTTGCTGCTCCTTTGCCTTAGCGGGAGGTGATTGCTGGAGGCCTTAATGGATGTGAGACATAATATACTTCCTCCACATTAGCTCCAGTTTGCAAACTGAGGCTTTAACCACATCCTACCCTCTCTGATCATTTCCTCATGCACCTTTTCAGCAACATGTGAAGTGCACTAGCTACAGCCACCCCAGCGTCCCACAGGCAACCAAGCGGAGAAGTGCAGAGACCATACGAACATTGATTTTACACCTCATTTCTCCAGTGAACAAAGGGGTTCTCACCTTTAAGGCTTAGCAAAATTTGCCAAACATAAATTATTGAACTCTTTGCCTCTGTTTCATCCTTCTGAGAATGGGAAATATTTATTTGCTGATTGGCGATGTTATGAGCACCATACAAGGTCCATAAAGTGATTTTTAAGTTGAAAACCTTTGGTATCATGCCTTTGTTAAATATTTGAGGTAAAATATAGCAAGAAATTAATAGGTACTAGTGACTCTCCATACTGCCTGTCAAGACCATTTAGAGCTGCCCGGTGCTCAGTTGCTCCCTTTCCAAAAGTATGGATAGACATCATTCTCTCCCCAAAACCATGCTGCAGATCTACATGGAGAAGTTCAGTCTACAGTCATGTTACTTGTACAGAATAAATAAAGTGTTTCACAAGAAGAAAGTTGCCCACAGAAACCTGTCCATGCCATCTGATCATTCAAAACCTGGTGCTAGTCTAAGAAGGGAGAAGGTAACACCTCCAGAGCACCAGAAAATTCCCAAAGACCCTAAGGGCTATGCTGAGCAACAGTCAAAATCTTAAATTACTTCATTTTCTCCTTTTTTTTCCCTCTTCTTTCTCACTTTAAAATTCAGTGTCTTTCACCTTGGTGTATCATTTTCCTTCAGGTCCACCAGCACTTGTTCATTGCATGACCCCTTTATTTTTCAAAACACCCCTCCTCAATCTCCTTTTTTCATTAGTTGATGTACAATAGACTCTACCATGAGACTGCTTTTGGTTTTGTTTGATTTCTCTCTTTCTTTATCTCTACCCAGAGACATCCAGCAGATTGTTTCATAATCTTCCCAGAGTTCAGAGAAAGTATATTCCTTCCAGATAGCCTGTGAACTCCCTCATTCCTTTTCCTCCTCACCTGCCTTTCTTGAACAACAGTTCTGGCAAACTTTATCCACATATGATTCCTTATTAGGGAAAAGTAAGAAATGTTCTGTTTCCCAGCCACACAAGGTGTGTTTTTGCACAACTGCTTTGCATGCCAGCGCACTCACTGATTTTTCTAGCCCTTGGAAGTAAGGACCGCAGCACCACATTCATCCCCCATCAACCACACATCGTTTGTGGGAGATCTGCAGAAAAAGAGGCTCTTCGTTCCGCTTATATGGAGCTACATTGGTACATGAAAAAAGAAAATTGGTGAAAGTATGCAACACACAGAAGGAAGGATTGATTTTGTTATTGGTCGGGGAAAGCTCCGTGCTTCAGTTGGTATCACTGACTTCCTCCTGTTGTTGGATAATTAATTAACACCAACTGTGTGTTTGAAGCTATGCTAAAACGCAAACACAAGATTTGCATCAATGTTTTGCATTCTGGGTGGGCACGGGGAAGATGGAAGCATTGGCACACCTAGAGAAGACAGTCATGGAAAAGGAGAACTGGAGAGAGACTGGAGAATCCCCCCTCAGTGCCCTGAGCAGAATCCAACCATCCCCAAGAGAGGCTAATCAACTTCCAGAGAGGAAGACTTAAGAATAAATTCAGAAATTTTAATTCAAAGAAATTTGCTTCAAATTAGAAAGCTTTTAGGTTTGATTTGTGGGGTTTTCTTCTTTCCCAGATACCTAGTAACAACGATTTTTTCAGGAAATCAAGCCAATTTAGTTCTGTTGTACCCAGAACAATTGTCAATATCCTTTTTGTAAGTCTCCTCTGTCTTAGAAGATAGTTTTCATATTCTCATGCATTTTTTTTTCCCTTCTGAAAAAAAGCAAAGAAAATCAAGTTTTTTGAACCATTTATAATACTTGTTGCTCTCTCTACAATTTGTCTCCATCTTTCTTATACTTTCTCCTAGCACAGCATCCAAACCCACACCTGATATTCTGACTGAGCCCTCATTAGAGTGGAATAATTGCTTCTGATGTTTCACCTATTACACTCTTCTTCATATGCCCCAGAATAAGTTTTGTCTTTTTCTGCAACAGCTCTCTACTACTCAGCATCTTGTTCACGGCTCTTTTTCTGTTGAATGGCTGCTTGACCAGTGATTTGCCACTTGACATTGACATATTTGTTGCTTATGACCTTACTGAACCAAATCTGGTTGATTTTATATTACTACTTTAATTTCCCAGCAACATTTTGGAATGCATCCTCCAGAGTAACTGTATATTCTTTATTTCATCATCCAAATAACTAATGAAAATATTAGAATCAAGTCCAGGACCAAACCCTGTGGGAGCCCATTTGGAAATCCCTCTAAATTTGAAGGAAAGGAATTAGTAATTCTTGTGTGAATACAATTTTTTTTCTGTCAAGTACGTCTTAAGATGGTTTCACAGAGATCATAGTTCCTGGTCAGCTTATGGGAACGTTATGTGAAATGGTGTTAAAAACCCTGCTTATTTCAAAATATATGACATATAGTCCTTCTCCCTTATTCTACAACACAGTTGTTGGGTTCAAAGATGGAAATTAGCTGGTTTTAACATCGCTCAGTTATGACAAATCCAATCCGGTTGATTGTATGGTTCTATTTTCAGCTTAATAACTGATTATTTAACAGTTTATTGTATTATTTTTCTGCATTGCATGCTAAACTGACTGCTGTATAATTCCCTAAGTCCTTCTTCCCCCCTCTTTAAAGACAGGGGCTGTGTTTGCCCTTCTCTCCTCCTCTGGGATCTCCCCCGTTATCCATGAGCTCTCCCAGATAATTACTAATGAGTCAGAGATTGCTCTGGCTAGTGCCTGAAGTGCTCTAGGGGGAACTTCATCCAGTCCTGCTGACTTGAATTTGTCTAACTTCTCTGAATGATTTTATCTGTTTCTTTTCCTATCTTGGATTGTCTTACCCCCTTGGCAAAAGTAGTTCTGATAAATATCAGTTTATCATCCTTTTTTTTTTTTTTTTTTTTTTTTCTCCAGGGGTGCATCATAAGAAATAATGAATGGTCCAGTCTTTTTTCTGTTGTTATTTCTGTTGTCTCATTTTCTGTTATTTCAGTTATGTATAATTTCCATTGTCGCCTTCTTATTTCTGTTACTTTTACAGATCATTCTTTTATCACCCTCTGTATCTCTTCCTAATTGAAACTCATTTTGTCCCTGGTCTTTCTCATTTTAGTTCTCCATAGTCACACTTTTCCTTTACAGACATCATTTTCCTAGTCTTGTTTCCAGTCTTTGTACAGCTTAATGTCTTCTCCTTTTTCTGCTTCCCCCACTCTTTCCTTTCTTCAGAGGAAGACACTCCATGATTTTATTATCTCCTTCATTTTAATTAACTTCCACCTTCCTTTTCTCAGCAATCTGCTCCCCATTATTCGTCGGAGTCTAATCTCAGAGAGCTACAACAGTTTCCTCCTCCCACAGGAACTTTGCTCCATCATCTGAACTTTTGCTGCCAGCCTCCCCCAAACATAGTTTAAAGCCCTTCTGCTGGGCTTGCAAGGCAGTTATCGTGCAGTCTCTCTTTGCAGAGCACCCTTGGGTAATTTTCCAGTTAGGAAACCATTATTTATTTTTCTCTATTATTGCAGATCTAATTAATAATCAATTTTTCTCTTAAACCCATCCTCTCTTCTGCAATATGCTAGTCCTTGCCCTGACTTTTATTCCCAGCCAGAAGGATGAAAAAGGATATTTTCCATATCCTCATCTCCTTCCCCCTTGTCCCCAGTGCCTGGATTTAAAGAGTAGATAGGAGGCTTTATTTAAAACACTTTTTAGGGTGGTAGATTAATGTGATGGTTCCTGTAAGCATTACAGAGGTCACCTGCATGCTGAGGCACCCTTCTCCAGCTCGGTGGGAGACCGTAAAGGCATTTAGGAAATACAGTTAAGAGGTCTGAGTGTACTGTGCATTGAAACATGAGATTTAGAACGTCCAGCACACAGATGCTATTTTTTTTCCACCAAAAATTCTGTTGATATCTTTTAGGAAATCAGACAACAAACCCAGACCCGTATGAAATGCATTAAATTAAGCTCCCAGTCCTTTGGGTCACTGTTCTTCATAAACTGATTACATCTCTAAACAAAGAACAACATAAACCTTCAAGGTCGTGTAAGCAGCAGACCTGCAATTCCACCTACGTCCACCTACCTCTTCTTTCTCGTTAACTTGACACAGGTGGCTCTTGCTCAAGGCTTTCCTTAGGCTCTCCAGACTCGCTGAGCAGGTACAAGGACTTAGGTAGCATTTAAGCCAGATGACTATAGCTGTCAATCTGTGTTTCGGCAAAAAACAGTAAATAAGTAGCTCTCGGTATCTGAGCAGTCTGTTCCTCATCACTGGGGCTACTGGTGAAGCTGAGCATTTTGCCACCTCAGAGCCAGCACGTACCTACAGTGCTGAGCCCACGGAGAACACTTGGTGGGACCCAGAAGAGTAGAGGTTATTCAGGCTTAAGATGATAAGGCTTACTGCTGTCTTTAACTACCCACAGGAGATTATTGAAAAGACCACGTCAGATTTTTCTTGAAGGTGGGCAGTGATAGAACAAAAGACAATCAACCCAAGTTGTGGCGGAGGACGTTCCAACCAGATATTAGATGGAAAAATAAATGACAATGAAGGCGATCAACTACTGGAACAGGAGTCCAGAGAGCTTTTGGGATCTCCATCCTTGCAAATCTCAATGGGGCAAGGTTCTGAGAAATCTGACTGCAGGGTGAGGTTAGCCCTGCTGTGGGAGGGGAGTCTGGAGATCCCTGGAGGTCTTTCCCTCGCCAAGTTGTTGGGTGATGCTGGGATCCTGTGCAGATGGGTCTGGGGTGGTTGTATTGCTGTCCTGCTCGTTTGAGATGATGGCCAACACAATTGCTAGACTGCCCGAGTGTGTTGGTTCTGTGCACGTAAATTTGTAAGACTACTCTGTGCTGAATCCAGAAGACTATATTTCATATAATAAGAAAATCCCAGGTAATTATGAATTAATTGGTTTAACACTGATCCCAAACAATAAAAAAAAAAAATCTGATATAGGCTATGGTTAGTAATGAATTAAAGGATGCTAACCTGATTGATATGCCTGAGCAGTTTTATGGAAAGCCTGTCATGTCAAACAAATGGATGTTTTTTTAATGAGAATGTAAGTTTGGTTAATAAAGATAAGGCTGTTATAAATTATTTAGATTTCTGCAAGTTATTGAACAGTTCCTGAACACGTTCCCAATTAAAGGAAAATGGTACAAAACCTAATCTGGTATACTAAATGGATTAAAAACTATTTCAGCAAGAGATCTTATAATGTAGTTTGAAATTCAATTATACTAGAGATATTGAAATCTTCCATTTATTTATTTTGGACCCTGGATTGTTCAGTGTCTTTAGGACTGACCCAGAGGAAATGATAAAAATCACCACCAATAAACTTGCAGATGATGTGAAAGTGAGCTGTACCGGGCCCGTGGTAGGAGAGCAGCAAGGAAATAAGATGAATACAACAAAGTGCAGTGTCACTGTTGTGAAAAATATAGATCATGTTTGCAAGACAGAAGACAATGGCCCAGAATGTGGGAGCAATGAAACAGCCCAAATAGCCCACTAAACGGGAACATGTTGAGAGTGAGAGAATTTTGCAGCATCCCCAACTCAACTAACAGCACTGAAAGCTTTTTTTTTTTTTTTTTTTTGCAAGAAAAAGACTTTGTGATGTTCTTGAAGATGGAGAAGAGATTGATTTGCCACCCAGGATGGCATTCAGTAAGCCATTGCAAGGAGGTACAGATCACCACCATGCGGGGATTTATATCAGTACAAGAGTGGGAGGTTGCTGCTACCCACCTCCTCTGCACTTGCAGGTGCCTGGGACCCCTCTTCCCTGCCACGGCAGGGATCCAGGATGCCGGCCAGCAGCTGGAGAAGGGAGTGAGCCTCCATGGAACGCTTCATATTCCTCTTCCTCATCCCTCTTTCCTCACTCGCTGGCACGAGGCATCAGCTGGTTTGTTGGTACAAGGGAGATTGCAGCCTCCTTCGGCTGTCACGTCCTGAACCCCTGCCAGATTTGTGTTGCAAGAACTGATGCCAGTGTTTTTAACCCAGGGTGTATTTGGCCCCTAGTGTTCTCCATGACATAGAATAAACATTAGGGAGGAGATTCAGGCTTCAATGAGAAATGCTTTCCCATGATACGTTTTCATTTTGGCATGCACACTGTTTATGATGAAAGGATCCTAAAATAATTGTATTAGATGAACCGTCTGTTCTTCTTGCTTTGAGGCCAGTACAGCATGACATTTCAGAGATAAAATGTTGTGGAACAGCCTCTGACTTATAGCCTGATGGAACTTTTCTGAAGCCATTCTTCTTTCTCCTTTTATTTGCTTGAGGTTTATAACCTGAAAACGTCAAGCTTGCATCACAGCATTGCCAAAAGATCATCCTGTGCATTAGCTAAACCTTAAATTGTCAGCAAACTTAATTTTTCTTCAGAAGGCTGATTCACAAGCGGTCAGCTCCTCAGTGGAAGGAACTCCTCCCTCCAATTCAAAGGAATTCCAGGATCCGCAAGAAATACTACATTTCCAGGAGGAGACTCTGTCCTTAGGAGAACTTATTTCTGTGTGCAAGTTCAAGTGAGTCTACAGGACCTTAAATCAACAGAGGCCAATGCCAGATCAGTTGCTGAGTAACTGATACTGATCATCACATCCTGACCAGCTGGATGAATGACAGCAACAATTTCTTGGGATAGCATCTGAAGTCTTCTGCATTTTCCTTCTGTGCAATTAACTCATGACTGTAACCTTAATGAGGGGAAATTAATTTGTGTCACAGATAGACAATTTTGTACTGTGTCCTTTGGACAAAGGTATGTAGTTATAAAAACTCTGAATCATTATGCACATTGCTTAGATTATTGCAATTACAGGAAAGTGAAGCGCGTGCCTTGCCAAATGCTTTGAGAGTCACAGGTGAAAAGGGCTAGCCAAAATCCACATCATTCATGTTGGGCCAGATTCTGCCTGTCTCCTTTGGGAAGTGTTCTGTGTCTCAAAACAAGAAGGCAAAAAGTTTAGTGGGTCCTTGCTGCTCTTCTCCTTTATACACTCTGCGTTGTGGAAAGAGATGGGATCCCATCATGCTGTTTTTGGTGGAAGGACACGATGCACCTTGAAGGAGTTCAAGGCCACATCTCCAACATCACCAGGACACCCAGAAGCAATGCTGAGGGACACAAGCTGACCCTAACATGAAGTATGGCATATGATGTACCTGGCAAAAATCTTCTTTTCATGTCTGTGCAGGTCCTTTTGCTGTAGACAGTGACCACGCAGGGCACAAGCTGAGCCTTCACCATCACAATTATTTATGTTGCACTAACTTGGGATAGTTGCTTCATAGCTGAGATTTTTGAAAGCCACTGAGGACAGTGACAATTGGAGGATGATGGAAGTCTCAGCCTAAGACATGACAAGTCCTGCCCCTAAGACCTTGGGACTGGCACTTCTGTCTGCACCTTAACAAGCAAATGGGACAAACTGAGCAAGTAATTTTTGTTGGATCATTTATTTATTGTTCTGTGCAAAGCACAGGGTGTAACTATCCCCAGTAATTTTTGGCTATTGAGCTAGCATCAGACATCACTGTGTTACTATTACAGCAAAACATATTAGCTAATCGTGAATTTACTTTTAGCCACGGTGACTGCACGGCTTTCCTGTTTTTGCGCAACGCTGCAGGACGTGAGACAGATCCCACAGTCACTAATTTCTCCTGGGTGGAGACTTGCGTATTGCAAACAGCCCCATGGGTGTGGGAATGCGCACAGGGGCATCGCTGGAGGTCGTCTGTTGGACGGGTTGGACCTTGGTCTGTTCCAACAGCAACGTCTACACTAGTGACTAAGTGGGGTCAGGGCACAGGGTCAAGTGTTGCCCACGCTGTGAAATCTTCGATGTGGTCCCTGGTGTAGTTTAGCCAAGGTCAATAAATGCTCTCCCAGAACACGTCTGGGCACAGTCCTGAGCCTAACACTCCTGATGGATGATTTGACTACAAGGTCCCTCTTTGGAGGGTAGAAGGGTTTGTCCTGGTGATCAGGTGCCACCAGTGGGACTCGGCGGGCTGGGGAACACAGTCAGTATGGCTGTTACTCGGTTGTTCTTCCATGGTAGTTGCTGTCAAGAGGCATTACCCAGGTGTATTACAGTCCTTTGATTTGTCACAGATTTTTAATGCAAAGAAGGCTTATATTTCCTAGTGACTTAATGCTTCATAGCTAATCTTCCCCAAAATACATGGAGGTACATCAACCAGTTCTAAAGACCTCTTGTTCTTTTTGTTCTTTAAGTCATCCTTTTTTTTTTTTTTTTTTTTTTAACCAGCCTCTCTTTTTCTGCTTTCATATGACTCCTCTAGATAAACAGGGGTTGCCAGCACTCGGAGAGAGGAGCTAGAAAATACTCCCAAAGCACAGCACCTGGAAACACAGCCAGCATGTATAAGCCATGGCTGAGACACAGTCTGGGCACTTGTCTTCTCTTTTTTGGGGATTGTTGATGTGGTTTGCATGAGAACATCTGTCATGGTTTGAGCCCAGAGGGCAACTGAGCACCACACAGCTGTTTGCTCTCCCCTTCCCCCTATCAGGAATGCGAAGGAGAAAATGAAGCAAAATGGCTCAGGGTTCCAGATAAGGACAGGGAGGGGTGGCTCACCCATTACAGTCAAGGGCAAAAGCGAGGCTTGTTAGGGGAAGGAAAAAAACCCCATCACTAATTCAAATGCTAACAAAGACAACACTTAACAGACAAGGTGGGATGGTAAGAAGAGCCACCACATCTCAAAACACCTTCCCCCCACCCTTCCCTTCTCCCCAAGCTCAGCTCTGCTCCCCATCTCTCTCCCTCCTCCCCCAGCAGCGCAGGGGGCAGGGAATGGGGGTTACAGTCAGCTCACCGCTCCTCCCTTCTCAGGAGTTGGGGTGCACATCCCTCCCCTGCTCCACCTGGCCCCCCTCTCACTGCAGACAGTCCTCCACGAACCTTCTCTGGCGTGTGTCCTTCCTACCTGATGCAGCCGTTCCCGAGCTGCTCCGGCGTGGGTCACCCCCGCGTGTTGCAGCCCTCCCAGCGCCGAACCACAATCATCAGGGGCTGCTTCTCCCCTTGGAGCCTCTGCTTACTTTGAGTGCAGTTGCCTGTCCTGGTGTGGGCTCCTCCACAGGCTTCAGGTCGGTCTCTGCTCCACCACGGACCTCCATGGGTGGCAGGGGGGGTGGTCCTGATGTCCCACCATGTGATACAGGGGTCTCAGCTCTGATGCACCTTCCTTCTTCCTTCCCCTGACCTCAGTGTTCCCATAGGTGTCTTTCTTGGAGTCCCAACCCCCTCTCAGGTTCCCCTTATTAAGCATATTATTGCAGAGTTGCAGCCACCCTTGCTCATTGGCTCATCCCTGGCCAGAGGTGGGTCTGACTTGGAGCCGGGGGAGCTTCGAGAAACTTCTCACTGGGGCCACCTCTGTAGCCCCCTCCCTCGCTACCAAACCCCCCACCACTCCAAGCTAGCACAGCATCCCAAAATGCCCTTTATGTACCAGGCAGGGCTAGGCATTATGGGCATATGCCCTGGAGCTGATGCCTGCTTCTCTCCATCCACCGTATGGAATGAGACTCAGCCTTGGATGCTCCGGTGCCTGAAAAGGACAGTAGCAGTGTCCATACTGAGAAACCAGCTCCCTGGTTCCTAGGTCTGTCCTAAACCTGCACCCAAGAAAGACCAACTTATGCAGCAGCCTGTCCTCTATGCAAAGGGCACCTGAGGCACAGTGTACTCTGTGCTGGAAGAAGACCAGGACCATACCATAGCAAGCCCCACATCGAGAGGACCAGTCATACCCCAGCAAGCCCCATCAGGTGCTCTCACCGCTGGCTCCTCCTGTGACTCCCAGGCTAGCTCCTCGCTCTTCACGTGCCTCTCAGTCAGCCACTACCAAGGGATGTCCTGGATCCCCAACCCTTCTGCAGGGTGGACTCAAAAAGCCACCGATGAGGAAGGAGATGCTCAACCCTGTAGGTCTTCCATGGCCTATCCTGGAAGGCAGGCGTTGTGCAGCCTTGATGGAGATATTACATGTACTCGTCTTTTGTCGACACTTTAGTTTTTGTTAATT